GCTTGTATTTTTTGTCAAAACGGGGAAAATGAACATTTGATGTGTCTTTTTTCCCTTGTACAGCCCCGAAGGAATTGAGGCTCTTTGTTCAGACCTGGGAGTGGAACATACTGATGTTCGCATATTAATGCTGGCTTGGTATCTTTCAATCTACAATTCTTTTTTCTTGTGTTCATGCATGTTCTTAGTTTAATATGCTGATGCCATGGGTTGTAGGAAAATGCAATCAGAAAAACAAGGATACTTTACTCTGGTTAGCAAGAATCCACTATTTTGATACTCTTTAGTTGTCTGTTATAATATATTAATAATATACTTTATCACTTGTTCCCAACACATTTATATTCAAAAGAGAGTACAAATTTTATGTTTCTGGCCTTTCAAAAGTAGTATTCACTGCAGTTTTTCTTGCATTAGGAGGAGTGGAGAAAAGGATTAAAAGCATTACGATCCGACACATTGCAAAAATTGAAGAAAGCTCTTCCAGAACTGGAGAAAGAAGTACTAAGTTACACCTGTCTCATTTTTCCCTTGTTTTAAGACATGTTACTGTACTTTATATTTGTTCATACTACATGGTGGAGACGGAGGCAATATCCTTTCATCCTTTTTTTTTCATTTACCCCTCATCAAGGTTAGAAGACCATCAAATTTTGTGGATTTCTACGCTTATGCATTTCGGTATTGCTTAACAGGTATATTATTCTGCACACAAATGTTTTGAATCTGTAGGCTATATATCAACTTTTGTTGATAATATTTGCTGTGGAGCCCCACTTGTTCAAAATATCTTATTATTCCTGATGCTGTGATCGACTAAAGTTTAGTTAATCATAGATTTTAAGATATAAAGAATTTAAATGAATAATGATCATTTTATATTCCACTTTTTGCAAGGATTCAAGAGTAAATTATATATAATCAATTTTCCAATATTATATTCATTTTATACTTTGCAACCCCTGGTTTCCCTTACTATTTGACATTGCAGCCCATTTGGGGTGCATGTTCAAAGAAAATAAATTATGATGTGCAAAGGCGAATATTAGGGTACAATGTGGGGTGCAAATACCAAATATGTCAATCTTATATTCTTGTTTTTAAATGTACTTTGTACTACGTTTTGCATGGGTCCATCATAATCATAAAGGCGTACATTGGAAAGGTATAAAGTGATGTTCAAGGAAATTGAACTTAACTGTGTAACAAATACAAAAAGAATAATGTGACTTGCAAAACTGGACAGGATTCACTTGCTCTCAATTCATTCTGTGCTTCACTTGTAATCTTGGGAGTAAAAAGTGGTCTCTCAAATTGACAAATCGGTTTCTTCTCCATGTGTATTTTTTAGAGGAGAAACAGAAGAGCATAGATATTGAAAGTATCTGTGTATTGCTGGATCTTGTTTTAGGCTCTCAATTTCGGAACCAAGTAGAAGAACTGATCCACTATTTGAAAGTAAGCTATTCTCTTTTTCAGAAACTATCTTTCCTATGAATGCATGCTTTCTAGGAAGAAATTTTTGTAAATCACATCACAGGGCTAGGAATTTAAGTTAGCTAACAAATGTGCATTGGGTGTATGATGGATGATGTCAGATCCAGAGTGATTACAAGGTCATCAATATGGATCAATGGATGGGATTTTTCAGATTTTGCAGTGAGGTAAACACTGTCGTTGTTTTTCTCCATAACCTTTTGCCTTGTGATGTGAAGCAAAAATATATGATGCTCTGAATTGTTGTTAGCTTCTTTATCATTTTGGCTGTTCTTTGTGCTCTCTTTAATTGATAACAGTTCAGGAATACTTTGGTTTAAACAGATAAGTTTCCCGGACTTTAGCAATTATGATCCAGAGCTTGCTTGGCCTTTGGTCCTTGACAATTTCGTTGAGTGGATGAGACAGAAGCAAGGATAAATCAAAGCAGGTACAGTCTACTAACTAGTAAGGAGTGTGGAGTGCATATTACTTAAGAGCCAAACTGATTGATACCTTTTTCTCATGCAGGACTCCTATAGATTGTGTTATATTGCATTTTGCTTTTGGCGTCTTTTTTCCAAACACGGGTTTAGGAAAAAAAGAGGAAAAGAGGGTGGCATGACAAAAAATGGTCAACCATTTCCTCCTGTTTTTTTGGCAAAATGGCACCAAAGGCCAGTAATTGTACAAGTTTATATTTTAGCAATTGCCTCGAGATGAGAGCACTCATTCAACTGATTGTGATCTTTCAAAAACTGGAAATTGTACTGTGAATGGTAAACTCTTCATTACAAACTCCTACTATTCATTGTAGTATCACTTAGCTTTCTTCCTCACCTTTTCTCTCTTGGTGCACAACTGCACAATATTTGAGAGTATACCGATGAAATTTGGCAGAACACTTGACATGTATGTTCGCGGATTGTAAATTTGTAATAAACGAATACACATTCGAATGAATGTGCTGACCAAAAGAGAGTAACAAGCGTTTATTCACACTTTGGGGAAGACATATTAAATGACGCATGTGTCTGTGTTATGATTATATCTCCCAGAACACATCCAAGTACGAGAACTAGTGATCAATTGCATGTGACTGCTTCTCTTCTTGTAGTTCAAAATCACTTAGATATGTGTAATATACTAATATATTATTAGTGAGCATGTTGGCGCTGGTGGTCGCATAGGGATGCAATGGTCATAGTGGTGGTCGGAGTATTAAACTAGTCGTAATTTCATACGGAGTAATTCATTTGTCTTCGTTTAATTCATTTTTTGTGACATGATAGAATTTCATGTTAATATTTATTTATAAACTATTTTGGTTGTCTTGCTTTCCTTTTAGGGTTGTCCCAAAATGGGTGTCATGTTTTCCTTTTTGGTAAAAGATTTATGTTTCATATCATTTCACTCTATTCTAATCAAATTAGAGGTGGACTCGGGCCGGGTGGCCCGACTCGGAACCGGCACTGTGCTGAACCGGCCCGGCCTGGTGGCCGGCCAGTGACCGGTCCGGGTAGGCCCGGCCCAGGGGTTCCCGGTGCGGGCTCGGGTCACCCAAAAGCTGAATCGGCCCGACCGGTTCAGGTCCGGTTCCGAGCTTTTCAATTTTTTCAACTTTTCGGGTTGGGCTGGGTATTTTGGGCCATTTGGGGTGGTTTGGGGTTGGGGATGGGAGGGGGGTTAATTACGAAAAGGAAAAAAAATTGACCTGAGGCCCGGCCCAGACCCGAACCGGACTCGGTGGCTACCCGGATTCGGTCTCGGGCCCACCTATTCAGAATCGGTGATCCGTCCGGACCTAGGCCCTACCCGAACCCGGCCTGGCCTGAATCCACCCCTAAATCACAACTTTTACTTTTCAATCCATTTATTAATAATTATGTCAAATTGAATGAGATAACCATTTTGGAGACAGAGGTAGTACTAGATATGCCAATGGTAGAATTGTGGAATCAATACAGACCACGAGTGATAACAAAGGCAGTAGCGGATCTATTGGTAATCAGGGACTAGGGGTGGGAGAACGTCGCCTGGACTTTCTATTATATACTCCATCCGTCCCGTTGGAATGTTGTCGCTTTCCTTTTTTGGATGTCCCGTTGGAAAGTTCCCATTTCCCTAAATGGAAAGTTATCCTACATCAAAACAGGGTCAAACAGTGCAAAACAGTGTCAAACAGTGTAGAAATAGTGCCAAACAGTGTCGAAACTATGGTTGGACTCGGGTCGGGCCACCCGGCCCGTGGACCGACCCGGTTTTCGGGTCCGGGTCCGGGTCGGGCCTAGGCCCGGGGGGTAGGGCGGGTCCGGGCTCGGGTCTCAAATTTGGTGAACCGGCCCGGCCGGGTCGGGCCCGGGCCCGGGCCAAATTGATTTTTTTTTTTCATTTTTGGGGTTCCACCCGGGTTGGGCTTGATGGGTAGGATGGGTTTGGGGGGGGGGGGGGGGGGTTGGGAGGGGGGGGGTGAGGGGGGGGGTTAGGAAAGCAAAAAAAAACCAAACCGGAGGCCCCGCCCGGCCCGGCCTGGACCCGGGCCGGTCCCGGGTCCACCATTCCTGAACCGCCGGCCCGCCCGGGCTTAGGCCCGACCCGGACCCGGCCCGGACCCGGGCCTAGGCCCGACCCGGACCCGAGTCCACCCCTAGTCGAAACAGTGTCAAAACAGTAAAATTTACCCCCTGATAAGTTTATTTCCTTAATATGTGTGTAGGTCAAACCGGGAACATTCCAACGGAACGGAGGGAGTAGTATGTAATATTCTAATAAAATTTTCATATTTTAATTATATGTGTGTGTTTGCCCCAGCTTAACTTTTATTTTTCTAAATTAATCCTTACATATATGATACGTAGTACTCAATAGGAATTTTAAAAGGATAAACATCTACAATAAGTTATCACTGGTTAGACAAAATGTATTAGAACAACTCATTAGTTTAAGATTTAGGATACTTATTATATATAAAAAAATAGTTTTGTAATGTTTAATTTATTTTTATTAAATAATTAGTACTTTTATTAAATAATTAGTATTGGATTTGTAAAATATCAAATGATATTAAATGACAGACATACTAGTTGAATTAGTTGAATAAATTCATGAAATTTTGATGAGATGTCTGAATTAGTTCAATTTGCCAAATTATGTAAAACCTTTATTTAAATACTACATACTCCGTATATTTTATTATTTAATAAAAGAAAGAATGAATTGTATAAAAATTAGTTAAAATTATCTTCTACAATAATTCAATCAATTTAAACAGAAAAATGATTCACCTTATTTATTTAAATTATTAAACAATCAAACACAAAAAATAAAATAAAAAGTTGCTTGTTTAATAAAAAGTGGACTCATAAGCCACCAAATGGGCTCATAATCATTTGATAAGTTCATCCTGCAATATCACATTCCATGAACCAAACACCTCTTAAATATTCTATTTCGAAATTGTTGTAATAATACGGAGTATATTATTCTTCGATGCTTTTGAGTTTGGTAAATTTTGGTACTTAAGCTTTAAATTAACGGTTCATGGATTAATTATTTTTTAATAATACATACATAATATAAATGTGAGGCTTGGTTCGACCTAAATTCATCAATAAACTAAATTCCATCAAAGTTAACAGATGGCAAAGATCAAACCATCATCCAAGAAAAGACTTAAAATTATAAAGCTCAAATCTGTTGTTAGCCCAACATAACATAAATATAAGACACATGAAAGAGGATTTGAAAACTTAAGATCTTGGTTTTTCTTTCTTCTCCTTGAATAAAGCCAGTAAGGAGACACCGGACACCTTCACAACCTTGAATCTGACACCCGGAATATCCCCCACAGCGTGGCCCTTCCTACCAAATCCAGCTATCAACACCTCATCCTATAAAACATGATACCATTCACATAAAAATTGGTCAGATAGGAATCTCTTCTGATGTGAAATTGTGTGCAAGAGATGGAAAAGGGAGGTTGGCTTACATTTTCCTCGATGTAGTTCAAGCAACCATCATTAGGAACAAAAGCAGCAATCTTCTTCCCATTTTTAATGAGTTGAACTCTAGCGCACTTTCGAATGGCAGAATTTGGCTGTTTTGCCTCAATACCTCTGCACATGGAATTTTGATATGATCAGAACTGTACAACAAATTTAGAAATCTGAAGAAAAAACAATCCATAGGAATAAGTGGATTTTACATCTTCTCAAGAACTATTCTTTAGCATGGGATGAACCAGCAAATGGTTTCTTCCATTCATTACCAAGATGAGATTTCTTGTAAGCCTTGTCAGCCCACCTTTGCTTCCGACGATGGGTCTTTAACTTGCGTGCCGCTCCCATACCACGTGTCTTCCTGGGACATCACAGAAAGCATATCACTCAATAGTTTTTATAGTTAAACACTAACTGCTAAATCTTTGCTGCAAATCTTTGTGGCAACTTTATAGTCCCATAAAATTGTTAACCAAAAAATAGTAGTTGTTTGACTTGTTTCAAGCTTTCTTTTATTCAAAAAAAATTACTTTAATGCTACTCCCTCCGTCCCGAAAAGGTTCGCCAAATTGACTTTCCTTGGTCAATGACAATCAACTTTGACCAATGATGTTTTTTAACACGAAACTATTTTGAATATGAAAGTTATATCGAAATGTTCCTTATTCAAAATATTTTCATAAAAGTATAAATTTTATAAATTATATACAAATTAATAATTAAAATCATTGTCCAAAGTTTGACATCATAGTCCAAGAAAAGTCAATATGACGAACTTTTCGGGACGGAGGTAGTATCTTTTTATAGTTATTTGCCGCAAAAATAGTCAAATAGAAGACAGATACGCTAAACTTAATCACCTAAACATATATTCTATAAAATATAGTTACCATTAATAATTTTAAATTATTATAAATAAATAAACAAATTCAAAGAGGTGTGACTTATGAAATTAGACTTTTTTGGGACAGTTATCGCATTTCATTACGGGTATGTTTGGCTGCTTTGGCATATGAGATGAAGATGAGGACTTGTTTGTCTAGAGTTGAATTTGAAGTTGCTGAATCTGAAATGTTGGCTGAATAAAATAAATCCGTTTGATAAAAAGAGCAGAATGAATGTCTAAAAAAATAGAAAAATACATAAAAGGACACATTTTTAATTACAACAGCGTTTATTCGGCCATGATAGGAGGGAGCCGCTGCTGCAGTCATCACTCAAGAAGAACATTGGAGTTGAATCCGGAAGTGAGTCGCTGCTTACACTCCAATTTGAACTTTATGTACATACAACAACAACAACAACAACCAAGCCTTAATCCCAAAAGAATTTGGGGTCTGCTAACATATATCTTAGGTACATATATACAAATAATCCCTTTCCTTATATCTTCTTCTCTCACTCTTCACAAAAAGATACACTTTTTTCCACCTCAAACCTTTCATCTCCTTCCGATATCAGTTATTGCGGACATATGCATAAATTTATGTTAACTATCAAAAGTATGACATTAGGTCATCAACAGCAGCAATTTGTGCAGGGAAAGGGTGGTAAGAAGAGTTCATTAAAAACTTGTTAAGGGTTCAGATTGGACCAAAATCATCCAATATATTTGTTGGTATTTTAATTTTTTTTTACTCCAAGGGGGTCTAGGTCTGGGGGACTGGAGTAATCAGGGCTGAAACTCACTCCATTGAGTTTCAAACACTTATGTGTCTAGCGGGTTTCGAACTCGAGACCTCCCACTAGGCACGGTAACCTCGCAACCAACTGGGCTGGAATGCTTGGTTATTTGTTGGTATTTTAAAGTTCTATAAAACTTACCATGTGCCCACAGATAATTTAAATATTTTGTAGTATGTATGTGATAATTGTGAGTTATAGAGAACAAAGCAATGAATGTAGTGAGTTTATTGAGCTTTGTTTTTACGGTCGCAGCATAGATGGACGGGGAAAGAATGTTTAAGCATTGTAATTCAGCTTCTTTTTTTCAGTTCAAACTCAATTCAACTTGTTATCCAAACACGATTATTTGTATAATAATTGACTAGACTTTAGTTATTTCAGCCCATTATCAGCTGAAATAACCTCGCAAAAATAGCCTTCAATCCTACATGCTATTTAATGTAATCAATTATAACAATGTACAACCAAAGATGGTAAATTGGTGAGCCAACAAACAGAGCATGACGATAGTTTATGAAAACAAAAACAGCATTTCAAACTGTTTTGATGTTTTAGAAGTTAGATAATCAACCATGCAACACAAGCAATGGAGCACTACAATTTATCATGCATTAGCTCGTTCCACTTTCTTACACAAAAGGGTTCGGTATATTTACTGCATTTCTTCATCAAATCTCTAGATCTGGGAATTGGAAATACTTCGATTTAGTCATGAACATTCCTAAAGTATGCGAATTTACGATGGCAAACCTTAACACACCAAACTTTCTCTAGCTTGTAATTCATATCGAAGAAAAGGTAGTGATATCAATACAAATTTACTATAACTGGTTTAAATACCATACCCCATGTTTTCTGAATGAAGGTGATTCCGGCTTCGGGCAAGGAAGGGTCAGAGACGGTGGAGAACTGGAGATGATGAGAAGAAGCCACTTGACAAAGCCCCAATCCTGAACCCATTGAGGCGCAAGAGGTTATGTATTAATTTTGAGGGTTGGGCTTCATTGGCCGATTTGGCCCAATATTAATAGATTATTAAGACAATATTAGGATGTTTTCTTTTAGATTGTTTTTAGTCTCAAATCAAATCAGACTTCCCTAGTTATAAAATAGAAATAATGGCATAGATATTACTCCTAGAGTTTACTTAGACAAAAAAGTGACCCATACTTCCTCCCAGCCCGTTGATTTCTCCCCCAGAAGACCTTCTCTACCTCGCAGTCGATCTCCGCACGCACAGGACAGAGGACATAGCTTCTCTTCGCATAGGAAGGAGGACAGAGCTTCTCTTTGCACTCGATCTTCGTACAGGATGGAGGCTTCTCTCTTCGCACATCCCGCGCCATCCTCTTCGATGCTCCAAGCCATCGGTTCTCCTCTCTTTTGCATCTCAGCTCGTCGGCGTCGACCTTCTTCAGCGACGACGCCATCAGAACTTTTCATCTCTCCGACCAGACCTTTATTCTCCTTCTTCTCCTTTCTTGTGAGATTTTAGATCAATTTTGATTTTTTCCTTCTTATTTTCACAGATCTGAGTTTCAGATCAAATTTTGGGTACGGGTAGATAGGTTGCTGGATGGGGCTGTGGTAGGGCAGAGCTTGAGGGCTAAGGTGCGGCGTTGTTTGATGGGGGCTGTGGTGCACCGTTGTTGGGTGGGATTGTGCTACCTCATTCCTTGGCACGGCTGAGGGAGGGTTCTATGGGGTTGGGGAGAATAGACCGGGGGCCATGGAGATGGGTGGGGGAGCTGGGGTCGGGATGGGGGCTTGGTGGGTGGGAGGTGGCTGGGGGATCGGAGGGGGTTGGGGCTAGGGCAGGGGGAGGTGATGGGGGGCTGGGGAGTCAAGCCGGTGGTGGGCCGGTGGTCGACGGTGATGGTCGCTGGCGGTAGTCCATGGTGATGGTCAGCGGCGACACGTACTAGGGGCAGGGAAGGTCGGGGACAAGGCTGAGGAACTGTGAGGAGCAAGGGAGGGATGAGGAGACGACATGTCACTGTCATCGGAGTCAGCGTGTCACTATGGTCGGAGCCGGCATGTCACTGTGGCGGTGTCACAGTTGGCGGTATCACTGCGGCCTGTTGGCGGGTGGTATACACCGTCGAATGGAGTCACTGTGGTGTTGTCAATGTAAAATCGTCACTATAGCAATGTCACTGTAAAATTGTCACTGTATCAATGTCACTGTAGCATTTTTACTGTAGCGCCTTAAATTGTACTCTTAATACTTTCAGTCACATTTTTGGAAAATCAATAAAACGTCACCTTTTGTCAATGAGCTATTTATTAGTAATATTCAAGGAAAAAGCCCTATAAAATACACGGAGACCAGACATTTACCAGACCATGCGAACAAATTGCAGTCCAAAAAAACATCCTTATAGTTAATCGTATACACCCCTTTCATAGTTTAGGTCCCTTGAAAAGGGGATAGGTACAAATATAATACTTATTCCCTTAAAGTATATGTACATGTGGAGTGTTGTCTTTTTTTGTCCCAGAGTGTTGTCATAACCCTCACATTATGGTTTGTACCACTTTTCTTCTAACCCGCATTTTACTCTTATGAAGGCCATTTGAGCACGAGAAGCAACATATACAGTTTTGGGGCCGTGTTTTTCGAGATTGTGACTGGCCATTGAGCAATGGACAAAATCCGCCCCAACAGGGAGCATACCTAATAGATTGGGTCAAGCCTTATCTCATAAACAAGCGTAAGATACTACGGGTCATGGATCCACTCATAGCCGGATCCATAATTTGGAAGACGTTAGACGTCATCATTATTCCATGGCGTATGTTACATTTTCAAGCGAAAATAAACACAAAATGGTCTTATTGCTTCTCTTTATGGGTAACTTTTTAAAATACTATTATGGCCTAAGCGAAAAAATGGCCATAATAATTCTTTTCTTTTTTGAACAAGTTGGTTCCCGTTTCTTTGTTCCCTTTTGGCTATAATACTTTTTCACACACACTAATGCCAAGAAGATTTTTATGTATACTACCACCATCATGTGTTGCTGTCATATTAAGAGTTTCATTTTCTTTGTACTTATATTTATCGAACTCAATCATATATATGTGTGTGTATACTATCACTGTATCATGAGTAAGTTTGTTTCTTCTTCTGGTTTAATATTTTCATTCATGTACACTTCATGTAATCTCATCATTGAACAACTTCATGAAGTTTATTGTATATATATAATATGTGTGTTGTGCTTTTACAGGATGTAATAGAATAATTTGTATTTGAAAAATACTATACTTTCATATATGTATGATGTTGAGGTTAATTCTCTTAGGTCCAAAGGCCCAACACATTCCTTTGGCTATCGTTAGAATGCTATGACTGAGACGAAATCAGAGTAATTGGTCAACAAACAAGATGGTTCAATAGCTCAATTGTATTGGAGTACAAATGCTGATTACATAGAAATGGACGAACGGGAGTTCCGGACCCTTTGTTAATACAAGAGCTAGAAAGCGATATATTGCCAGTGACTAGTGAGTATTAAAATGATAACCCCTTACAATGAATTAAATGGTGGAATTTATAGTATGAGTGAGAATGTGAGGTGCGTGATGTGGCCGATTCTGAATGGATGATCCTTTTGCCACGTGACCTCCCATACTTAACATTTGACCTCCCATACCTCTAACATTAAATGCACTTCCCGCCAACTTGCAAGGTTTCCCGCCAACTTTTTGGGCTGACCCTTCATGGACGACGCTCTTCATTGTCATGTGTTATGTTCAGGCCGTTCGGGAATGGCCGTACGGAAAATGATCATACGAGAGTTCCTTGTTCCTGATTTGTATCCGTTGGCCTCCGTTGCACATGGGCTTCTTAGGAGTATTTTGGGCCGGATATTGGGCCAGACCCTAATATCCCAACACAAGTCCCCCACTTCTCATGTTCTGAGCATGTGCGGGACATAAGGAAGTACAAAAGTTGCATTTGTGTCGTTCGGTATATTCCGTTCGGATTGAACTTCACGGATTTCCGATGTGAGGATTTGACGGTTTTTGCGGCCGTTGGTTGGTTTCTCTAGGCCAAACTCATGTTTACCTGATGTTCCTCCTCCGTTTGACACGTGTTCTCGGAAATGCTCCATGTGACGTGTTTATTTCTGGTTGGTCGGCGAAACGACACTTTGGCCTATAAATAGAGGCCTTGGGTCATTAGTTTCGGGTTTCCGAACTTTTCTTATCTCTCTAGCTTGCTCTTGCCTCTCTATAAAAAACCATAGTTCAAGTCCGCTCAGGTATTTCCGGGCCTTCGTTCTCCTCTTTCCCCTTTCTTCCTTCTTCCCTTTTCATTCTTGCTCGGTACTATGACTGGGTGTTCGTCCCCTAGTTCCGCCGGTTTGTCCGAATCGGACTCGGCCATTGAGGAGACTGTAACACCCCCAAATTCACACCTGAAATAGATGCTAATTATAGCAAGTGTAGAAAAATCTTCCCCAAACATTTAGTCTAAAAGAGTTTAAATCGCAACGGAAGCTTAATATTCAATGGGTGTACCGCCATACTACTCGATTTCACATAACTGAATGCACAGGCTAAACCACCATACAAAAATAATCCAAGTATTTAAATATTTAAATCTCAAAAATAAATTAAATGTCTACATGTTCTCAAACTGAAATAAACAATAATTAGGTGATTATAAATGTTATACTATATTACGTGATCTAACGCAGCTCTTGTCAACATGCACAATCCTCATCACCTATACCAAATAAAGTGCAAAAAACAAAACAAAGACAAAGGAACAAAAATTAGCTTTTTAGCTAAGTAAGACCCAACCAACCCCGTAAAATAAAAAGATTTGAGAAAATAGATTTGATACATAGAGCCCGTTTGGTAACACTAAAAATTGGCTGAATTGGCTGATTCTGCTAAAATTTATGAAGTTCTGGCTGAAGTGACTGTATTGGCTGATTCTGCTGATTCATGAAAAAAATTATAATTAAAATATTTGTTATTAATAAATAAAATAAAAAATATATGAAAAAATAGCTAAAATGATCCTCTACAGTAACTTCAGCCAATACAGCCAGAAAAGTAACTACAACCTTACTTTTTCTGCTGTTGGGATATTGACCTAGAGGCCCAATATCCAGATCGGAAAGGCCCAAGATATCCGGCCCAAGTAACAGGCCCATCACTCTATGATGAGAAGATCCAGTAAGGAGACATACCGAACAGGGTTCGGCCCAAATAAAGGTTGGCCCAATAAGAAGACATACCGAACGAGGTTCGGACTATATACTATACTTGGGCCAATTTGACAGCATCTTCAGTATGGACCAACATCCCGTTCGAGCAACGGCTAACCAGCAAGTGGCCAGGTGCAGTTAATGCCAGACTATGACATCAGCAAGTGGAAGCATGAATGACCAAGTCGGTGGAACAACGGCCAATCAGCAAGAGGCAGCCCATGCTCTCCAATTAGTATAAATAGAAGGTTTCAAGTCATTGTAAGGGTTAGATTTTCGAGACTCAAGCTCTGGAATAGCATCATTTGCTCTTATTTCTTGTATTAAAGCATAGTTTCCGACTTACTGATCGGGAAATCTTTTGTAATCAGATTGGTTAATTAATACAAGTGGGTTTTCGAGTTCTAGTTAATTCAGATTTTATATTTTCTCACACACTTTGATTCTGGGCCATTCCTGATATATCCAAAGTTCGTGTTGGGCTTTCGGATCTACGGGACTTACCCTCAACATTGGCGCCGTCTGTGGGAAACTTGCAAAAAGTTTCACCTTCTAAACATCCAAAAAACCTCTATTTTTAAAAATGGTCAGAATCAATTCCTATCATACAAACGACGGTTCACACCGTCACGGGAGGAGTCACACCCCGGGGAGTCAAAACCCCCAGGGACAATCCAGTCGAGGATCCTATCCTCGCGTTAATGGGGATTTTGTGATCCCAGAATCTCTGAGG